AGATTTACACTGTACACACACTAAAGGATTTATCACGGGTCACCCAGACCACGAGGACATAATATGTTCATTGTGAAGTGCTGTCTGAAGACCACAATCAGGTTTTCACCCATATAGACGACTACAAAGAACCCTAGTTATTTTATTGTATTGACACGCGTCGTAAATTATTTTTATAGAACGATATGTTTTGATAACACTTGTTTTGAACATAGAAACTTGAGACAGATTTTTGTTGATTTGTTTTAGTATAGTCAACTATATATCGTAACATGCCTATTTTATAATGACAGTATTGTAAATATAAATTTAATAGTACCAATAAAAGTACGAATATGGTCTCATTACAAAATATTTCCATAAATAAAACTAACATTAAAACAGTATGGTGGTAAAACAACTTAACCTGTGCTTTTTACGTTATGATGTTTTACATTGTCCAACATTAATTTGAATATATTCCCATAAAAAAAAGAGGGGAGGCTCTCTAAGCCCAAAATGATTCCGTAACTGAATGTAGCGGTTATCGATAAATAAAGCAGAAAGTACCATTAAGTCGACGATAAGGGTCTTCTATTTCTTCTTGTTAGGTATATTATGAACTATTCAAATCACCGCGAAGACCTAGATTTCCTGCTACTATAAAGTTGACGAAAGCATTTCCAAATATTTTGAAATTTTATCCCATTAACCTGTCTTTTTCTATAGATATATCGGAGACAACTTTAATAAACTAATTCGAAATGAATTCCTGACCAAGCAAATCAATTGCTTTACTTAATGTTTTTTATGCATTATTCATAGGACCACGAAGCAACGAGGCATAGCCAGAAATCGTATATTAGTTAAATTTTGTAGCTACGAGCATGCTATATATGGATCCTTTAAAGTTTGTTCGAATCGCGCTCGTAATTAACTGCATAGGACGCATTGTTGCGAAGATTTAAGATAAGAGGACAGTTTCAAAATGGTCGATTTGAAATTTTATAATTATAAAGCCCAAAATGATTCCGTAACTGAATGTAGCGGTTATCGATAAATAAAGCAGAAAGTATCATTAAGTCGACGATAAGGGTCTTCTATTTCTTCTTGTTAGGTATATTATGAACTATTCAAATCACCGCGAAGACCTAGATTTCCTGCTACTATAAAGTTGACGAAAATCTATGGGAAAATACACCAAAAGAGAATGCACTTCGATACCTCTTTTACATCGTAATCAATTAATATATCATAAGTACATTTATTAGAGTAAGACATTCACATGAATTATATTAGTTTAAAATGTTTTCATGCAAAAGTTCATATAACTATATATTGATAATGTTTCGTTTGATTTATATTCTCAAAAACGTCAGTCTTGAATATAATAAATATTTAACCCTGAGCATATAAATATTATTAGTTTTTTAATGTATTTTTAAATGATTAAATCGAAATACAACACATCTCTCATTCTTCAAAGACTTTTTAAATTTCATTGCAAATTATTCACTTAGAGTTGATAAATAATGAATTTCAAATGATGCGCTATTCAGTTAAGATATATATTACATAAAATATGTTCGTCGAAATATAAAAGCAATTAAATTTGAAAAATTAAGTGAAACCAGACAGCGTAATGAATTGTTCACATTTTATCAAAACTTTGGCTTTGAGTAAGACATAAGCACAGATTTATATTTTAGATATGGAGTACTTCTTATACTTAAATTATTAAATGGAGCGTTAGTTGTTTGTACGTAACGACAACACTTCCTGTAAGTGAAGGTCAAAAAGATACTCCAGTGATCGCATATAAGAGTCGAGATGACTATTACAGCTATAATGTCTTTAAAAATATATAAAAACAAAGAGATGTGGTATGATTGCCAATGAGGCAACTATCCACCAAAGTTCAAATGAAGTGGATGTATGTTTCCTTTCGGTGAATTTTACCAGATTAAAAGGAAACCCAGTTACAGTATGGCATAATGTCAGGTTTTCGCTGTATTTCATATAGTTTGAATTGAAAAATAAGTCATATGGGGTTGATTACATGTGACGATATCTCAGGAAATACTGTGATACGGCTTAACAAAGAGGACATTGATGTTCTTCTTTGTAACGTCAGTGTTATGTCTTGACGTATTGGCATTGAATTTTTACTTATTTTACTAATTGAAAATAAACAGTAGAGGACACCGCAAAGGATATATAACTTGACTTAATAATACGCATTTTAAATAGGGCTCAACGAATTTTCCGGGTCCCTAAAACCTCGGAACAGTAATAGTAATGATATACAGCTAACATTTGATTTTAATAGGGGGGGGGGGGGGGGGGGGCTAGGATGAAAAATTGTGTCCTGCCTTTTTTTTAAGTTGTAATCTCTGTCCTGCCTTTTTATTTTTCACTCTATTCGGTCCTGTCTATTTTTTATTAGTTTAATAGGGGCTAGGATGAAATTTGAAAAAAAAGACAGGACAGGAATTTTGAGTAAAAAAAAAAGGCAGGATGAGAAATCTTGCAAAAAAAAGGCAGGATGACAATTTATGTAAACAAAAGTCAGGATAAACTAATAAAAAAAAGACAGGACCGAATAGAGTGAAAAATAAAAAGGCAGGAGAGAGAGAGGGAAAAGGGGGGGGGGGGGGGGGGAGGGGGCTAGGCTAAATTTGAAAAAAAAAGACAGGACAGGAGTTTTGAGTAAAAAAAAGGCAGGATGAGCAACTTTGCAAAAAAAAAAGGCAGGATGACAATTTATGTAAAAAAAAGTCTGGATAAACTAATAAAAATTGACAGGACCGAATAGAGTGAAAAATAAAAAGGCAGGACAGAGATTACAACTAAAAAAAAGGCAGGACACAATTTTTCATCCTAGCCCCCCACTAAAAATCAAATGGTAGTTCCCTTATTTCCTACTGTTAAAAATATTTTCATTCATATAAAACTTTTATATATTATATTTTTCATGTAACACACTAGATAAACTTCTGTTTTTTTTATAAGCTATATCTGTTTTATTCATGAAGAAGTTTCAGTAACAGGCTCTTGATGCTTAATGACATGTACCATCAGAAAGTGAAGAGCGTGTTATGAGGAGAAAATTAAGTTTACACAAATTCCTTTCTAATATATTTGATGATGAACGACAACAACAGATATTTGATTAATGAAACGGAACGAATTTGTAGAATGATTTAACTTTCATATGTGAATTGACAATTGCCCGTCAAGAATATTTTTTGTTAGTATACAATGCGTTTAAAAATACAATTGAAATTATATTATCAGAAAACAGTTTAGAAAATGTTTCGCTTTTTTCGCTATTTGTTTCCCAAGTAAGTTTGATAAGGTTTTTGATGTCTAATAGTTTCACAGATAATTCGGAAACCGATTTAACCGCGAGAATGGTAGTTTAATTTCACTTTGAGAACGATTACCTAAAGTCATAGCGATCGTTTATCATGTAATAATTCAGATGCGGATCCTGGATTTTGAAAAGGGGTGGGCGTGCCCCCAAAATAGACAAAGTTTTAATGGAATGGGTAAAAAGTCTAGATTAATTATAAATATGGCTCCATAATGAGGGCCTTGCACCCCCTAAATCCGCCTCTGAAATTTCAAATGCAGTTTGTCTTTTCTTATATGTTTTTATTTTTCAATTGTTTTGCCTTATTCGGTTATTGTTCCCTTAATTTCGTTTTCTCATTTTCTTTTAAAATCTTTACATTCGGTATTTTCTTCCTATTGTCTGTAGTTCACTTAACGTCATTGCATGCGCAATTCATTAATTTTGGTCAGAATAGATACTTTGACATTAAAGACCTTTATTAAAAGATCCGTTTTATATTTACAAGATTATTTACAAAAACAAAACTCTCAAATATATAAACTATTTTCTTAATATGCAATTCAAGCATTATAACGAAATATCAGATTACGCAATGTTTGCGTTCAAACATGCTATTAATGTAAGTAATAGTGTGTTGAAAAAAACTTGAAAGTATGTTTTTCTAATTGTGTCTTCCTATATTCTAACTTCGCTCGTTTTAGGCACAAGACCTACAGTAATGTGACCGAATAAAAAGATGTAACTTGTAGCATATTTACACGTAATTTTATACATTTATTAATGTGACAACACGAGTTTCATTAAAAATCACTTTCATTTTAATTTTTTAATCGTTTAAAATCTCACCTCATTCATAAGATATGATGAAGATGTACACCCATATCATTTCGTTGTTGTTACATGAATTCGGTTTAACGTTTTGTTACAAGTATCATCCGTAAATGTTCTCTTTGTTTGTTATTCGTCTACACGAAACTTAAAAATGTAAAATGTATTTGTGTGTGGGCTAGATTTGTCTCCGTGATGATTTTTAATATAGGAGTGGTTCCATAATAAAATTTATATCTGTAGCTTAGAACTGTATTTGAATAAGATATGCATGCGAAATTAGCTTGTGTAACAATTTTTGACAATTTTCAATATTTTTTATGAGTTTGTGTAACAATTTTGGATATATTTGTTAACACCCTAATTATACTTAGAACTCAACTGTTATACTACGCAGCACTCAGTACTCAGTATTCACTTTGTTGAAATGTTAAACTTATTCGGTCTTAGAATCGGCGGTGCTCCGATTTTAAAAGTGTAATTTATTGTTTGTGATTTCCTATGCATCTCTTGTCATATCTTTTCTCAAAGGCATACACTTTATAACTGTTATAGTTCTACAAAAAGCACTTTTCCTCGTATAAGTATGTGTGGAAACTTTAACATGACCAACCTTATTACAAATGTCGGGAGGCAACTTATGTTGCATGAAAAAAGGATATAAAAACTATCGTGAAACAACACAAGTTCTATCAGAATAGAAGAGACGTGTTTCCTTTATATAAAAAGAAACACAAATCTTCAAGTATAAAAATTGTAAGAGCACTTTTAATAAAACTACTGAATGCAATTTATCAGTATGCAGAATAAGAACGGATATTTTTTTTATTTTTAGTGAAAATTAATGGAAGTTACGATGACCAAATGTTAATGGGTTTGATGTTAGTAGTAGTACCAAAAGGGGCCAAAGACGAGAAGATAACGTTAGGAGCACCTAAGGTAAGACTCTATTCTTATGATGGGTAACAGGCATCTATGGTACCATATGAAAATCGAAAATACATTCAAGATTAGGTATCACCAGGAAAGCTCCAAATCGAGCTTTGATTGAAAATCGGTCGATCCTTAAATAACAAAAATATAGAAACTCCTTCAATTTAGTGTTTTATGAACTGTCGTTTCTTTTCTTTTTTGTTGTCATCGACCAGTGTTGTCTGTTTTCTTCTCCCTGTACGCCTTGCTCTATAATTGAATATGCACTTTAATGGTATCTTAAAACGCACGACTAATACAAAGATTTAATGTTGTCCATTTAAGCTATATTAATTAATGTCAAAGGAACGTATCCCTTTAATGACGTGAAAGTCAATTTACATAGTTAGATTTACTATAAACTTTGGGATTAATAGGCGTTTTGTATTTTTCAAAGTATAAATCTCCTTGTTGCTTTTTTGAAAAGCAAGGTGGCTGAATATTTTTGTGACAAAAGGAATGTAACCTTTTCTTTTAAAAACTACATGCTTTATGATTTATAAAAGTCCAAATCCCTTTGTTGATTTATTTCAAAGTTGCTGTGTTAGGGAAGCTTTTGCGACCAAAGGAATGTTATTTTCTTTAGTGACAACTACTACCAAAACAGGATTATTCAATAAAAACAACCAGAGTGTTGTTTTTGACAACATTGTTATGTCTTAATAAACAAATTAGTATCATTTTATAACAATAAATGTCTATTTATAAGATATGATTGTCAATATTAGTGTACCATACATAATTTACGACCACACCAAATCCTAGTACGGTACACACTGCCCGGAAGCTGTTATTTTGTCAAAATCAATTGTGGTATAAAGTAATGATTAATTTTGACAGTTCTTGTAATACTGTGACATCTTAACATCTAATTAATTAACTCGACTGTGAAATGATTAATTTATGACAATTATTACACTATAAAATCAAATCAAAATTAATAATTAGTCTTACAATTGAAAAAAAAGAGGCATACTAGTAATCAATATTGAGTTATAGACGGTCAGGAACCTGTTCCAGTGGTTGTCGTTTGTTGATGTGGTTCTTAAGTGTTTCTCGTTTCTCGTTTTTTTATATAGATTAGACCGTTGGTTTTCCTGTTTGAATTGTTATACGCTAGTCATTTTGGTGCTCTTTATAGCTTGCTGTTCGGTGTGAGCCAAGGCTCCGTGTTGAAGGCCTTACTTTGACCTATAATTGGTTATTTTATACGCCCGTCAAAATTTTGACGGGACGTATTATGGTATACAAATGTCGTCTGTCCGTCTATCCGTCTGTCCGTCTGTCTGTCCGGCGTAAACATGTCGCACCGTAACTTGAGAACGACTTATCCAAATTTCATGAAACTTAACATAGTTGTTTCTTATGATGGTCAAACGATCTGTATACTTTTTGGTGAAAATAAGATTAAAACTTTTTGAGTAACGGGACTTAGTAACTAAAACAGGTGTGTGTTTTTTTTTCACATGTCGCGCCGTATCTCAAAAACAGTTTATGATTATTGCTTAAAACTTTACACACTTCTTAGTTATATTAATCGTAAGATCTGTATACTTTTTGGTGATGATTCAAAATTTCATTTTAGAGATATTGAGTATTTTGTTAAAAAAGGGGGAGGTTTTTTTTTTTGACATGTCGCGCCGTATCTCAAAAACGATTTATGATTATTGCTTAAAATTTTACACACTTTTTAGTTATATTAATCTTAAGATCTGTATACTTTTTGGTTTTGATTCAAAATTTTATTTTAGAGATATTAAGTTTTTTGTAAAAAAAGGGGGTTTTCGCATGTCAGGCCGTATGTCAGAAACTATTTATGATTATTGCATAAAAATTCACACACAAGACGACGGGCGTATCATGCGCTCATGGCGCAGCTGTTTATTATACATTGTGACTTGGATGGAGAGTTGTCTCATTGGGACTCATACCACATCTTCTTATTTATATTAACGATATCTCATTTAGTTATTATAAAAACTAGAAAATAGATAATGCTATTGACAGTCATCCACCAGATACCAAATGACGTAGATGAAATCAAATATAGGTCACCGTACGACCTTCGACAATGAGCAAAACCTTGCATATCGTTTCAACTTGGAGATATATTCTCCAAATGCAGACACTGCTGAGATGTTGCTACACATAATTGGAAAGTTCCCGATGAGAAAATTGAAATCTCTTCTTTCACATTGGCAATCTCAGCGTCATTTGTTTCTGTGTTCAGAATACTGAGCATTAGTATTAACCTAAAACTTTCTTTGAGAATTGCGGTGGACGAAAGTACATTTCTTAAACAATTACCGCGCATGGACGAAGGTCGAATTATAAATTGAGCGAAAACAGGGTGCTCTAGAAGGGTAAACAGTTCCTTCTTAACAAGTGACACGTATTAAAGGTAAAATTTGACACGGTACACAAATGTATATACTTAAGTACACTACAAAGGATCTGATTAAAAAAATAAGAATAACACAATGTAAATTAGGTGCGTCCGAAGCGCCTTTTTTCTGGATTTACCCTCATCAAGAACGTTAAAAAAATGGAAGCCACGTATGTAGAAGTACTTGAGGTGCTACTTGGCCAAAAAGTCCTAAACAGAATAACCAGTCATCTAAAGTCAACTTTACCTTTGAGAGTTGGAACCTTACTTTCTTAGCAATTTCTTGATTTATCAAAGGAAAATTTAAGAAACGTAATAGATCATGTCAGTGCCGTAGCACTGACTACTGGACTAATGCAACTAGCAGTGTTGCCGACACTGTTGTAAGAACAACACTTTGCAAACTTGTAATTTAAGTGATAAAGAAGTATACTAAACGAATGTCCCCGCCCGTGCATTAACAAAATCTTAAATAAAGACAAAATCTCTACTAATAGCTCCTAGAAATGTTATGAAATAAGAATTAATGGCATAAGAAACCGTTTAAAGGAACAGATTGAAGAGTTCCAAGCTGACACAACAATTGTGATCATAGCTTTGATGAAATAGTTCTTTCTTATTACGTCTTTTTGAGAGAAGTGTCTGTGTTAAAAGTGTTTCCTAGGTGACAATGTTATTAATGTTCCCTTCGTTAATGCACCAAATCAAAGCGTTAAATGGGAAGACAATCTAGGAAACGACTGCCTTCGCCGTCAAGTAATAGAATAATCTTATAAAAGAGGCACTTTATTCGAAGTGATTTACTTAAAGAGGGTTGATAAGTTCAGAATAAGCTATTATATTATTTCGATTTATATAGATAAATCATTTTACTCATCATCTTCAAGCAAGAACATTGTTGAAATATTTTCAATGTAGTACAAGTAGTCTTGAATAATTTATCATATGCAGCTATCCCTTCAAACTATTTTTGGTGTTCTTGGTCTTTAAGATGCAACTGCGTGATGCAACGCAACCTACTCTAGCAATCAACATGTTCTAACAAAAGATAAAAAAAAAATTAAAAAAAGAATATCCTGACTGAAAATCACTATTGTTCACCTATTATAAAGTCCCCCTCCTTGTGCAATATTATAAAAAAATACATTTGACGTCTCCATACTTTTCACAAGTTTCCTCATTCTAAACGTAAAAACGGATTGATAGAATAAGTCGAACTTTATTTTGTTTTAGGAAGGGATAAATACCTCAGATTTACACAAAAGTTAACTAAAAATGACATCATTATAGGATAGCTTGTTTTATTGAAAACATATATGTTACGTTTATGAGAACCAATGTGACCCTCTGCTTTCCGACGTAGTTATTTATTTCTATGAGGCAAACTTCTTACAGGAGCTTTTCCTGCCAAAAGTCGGTTGTTCTCTCCGGGCACTCCAACTTCCTCCACCAACCACTTTGACCTCCATGATAAATCCAATAGTGATGAAAGTGGCGTTAAACAACAACACTCAATCATAAATCAATCATCAACCGGAGCTTCTTAAGTAACTGTCATTAGCCATTATATTCAGGTTCCTTTACAAGTTGAAGACCTTTCTCTTAGATGGCATGCTTGGTTACTATGCTGGCTGCATATCTCCCATAAAGGATATCATACATACAGTTAAAGTATGCTTCATGTCTTAACTCACAGCTAGAAATTGACAATAAGGGTCGGTTGCGAACTAAACTTAACGACACAATAAATGATTTTAATTTCTCATTGTGAACTCTCCATTTCTGTGTAGCAACATTCTAACGTATTGAGCATATACATCTTTCTTGTCGTAATCCATCTGTTTTTCCTCGATTGTAACATTACCGAAAGCAACTTGCCGTCGTATTTTTCGACCCACTCGAACTACCTATACAATTAATTGTTCTTACCCTGAATATGCATGAAGTATTTGAAATTTGACAGTAAGCAAACAATAACAATCATTCATTTAATTCCATTTAAAAAATTTTTATTGAAAATCTGGAAAAAAACAACAAATTTCTGATTCATTTATTAATTTATTCGATTGTTTCGAGATCGAAAAGAACGCCTGTCAATTACATACCAGAAATAATATATGGAAGGAAGTGTCATTGTATCTACACAAGTTTTATTTTAACAATGCAAATGATGCAGCACTTATTAACTTGGAAATCATTTCTAAAGCGTCTCCTTTGATATGCCCAGTTTAAAGTGGAATCTGTTTCTGAAACATACACCCTTTATTATTTATCATAATACTTATTGTCAAGTGTTATTTCTTTCATGATATTAGATATTTTTTTACGATTATATCACTCAAACATATATGTGCAGTTATATGCATTTACAATATAAATTGCGCGTGTTGCTATGACAAAAGAAATTCATGCACGTGACTCCTGGAGTTGCATTTCACATCGCTTTCTAGCAGTGATTAAAACATTTACTTTGGGGGTAATTAATAGTAAGTCCTATGAGGTTATATATTACCTTTGCAATATTCGGAGGAAATATAAACTGTATAGATGTCTGAATAGATGGCATTCATTCTTTCCGACACATTTTTACTATTCTGCGTAGTAATTTGTAGACTTACAGGAGGGATTGTGCCTGATATTCATATGACCAAGACATAATCTTTCAATCAGTTTAATTGAGGTCTGGAGCTGGCATGTCAGTAACTGCTAGTAGTCTGTTGTTATTTATGTATTATTGTCATTTTGTTTATTTTCTTTTGTTTCCTATTCTGACATCGGACTCGGACTTCTCTTAAACTGAGTTTTACTGTGCGTACTTTGTACGTTTGTTTTTTCTACATTGGCTAGAGGTATAGGGGGAGGGTTGAGGTCTCAAAAAACATGTTTAACCCCGCCGCATTTTTGCGCCTGTCCCAAGTCAGGAGCCTCTGGCCTTTGTTAGTCTTGTATCATTTTTAATTTTAGTTTCTTGTGTATAATTTGGAGTTTAGTATGACGTCCATTATCACTGAACTAGTATACATATTTGTTCAGGGGTAGCTGAAGGACGCCTCCTGGTGCGAGAGTTTCCCGCTGCATTGAAGACCCATTGGTGGCCTTCGGCTGTTGTCTGCTCTATGGTCGGGTTGTTGTCTCTTTGACACATTCCCCATTTCTATTCTCAATTTTATTGATTGTCTTTTTAACGTTTTTTTCTTTTTGGCTATGGTGTTGAATATTTTCTTCTTTTTTTCCATTGTCCCCTAGGTATCTTTAAACTTTAATTCTATAAGCGAATCGATTTATTCAAATTCCTTCATAATTTCTAGCTATTTAAATTAAAAATAACTCGCCGATTGCATGCTACTATTGGGATATTTTATAGAACTCAGTTTCAGTTTTAATTTTTGTTCTTAAATGGTTTTTAGATGCCATCTAAACTCTTCTTTTCTGACTTTGTTTGCTTCTCCCGATGGACAACATTTGGAGAAAAGACAAAACCATTTATTCATTGATATAATATAAATGTTATGAACGTTCTGATTGGCCCATACCTCAGTCGAGAGCCATACCCCAATACAGTTTATATACACAACGTGCTCTGTATTTGTTCTTTACCTTAGCTTATCATTACAGCAACTCGTCTGTGAAGTAAGTCTTGCTCGACTGCTTAGGCGAATAGTTTCGCAGCTACCCTGGTGTCTGAAAATAAGTTAAAGATATGGACTTAAAATTTAGGCGAGAGAAACACCTATTTTTATAGACCATACCCATATTTATTCCAATGACCTGCAAACGTGCAGTATATATCCTTGTGAAATTAAGCAAGCCATTGATGCCATATACTTTTGCCATAGTTAGAAGAACCATTTCAAACGTTTCAATGTTATTGTGCCTAGAAATTGCTCTCCACAGTAGATCATGTAGGACTCAAATACATGTATTTGTGTACAAAAGATTTATCAACTAATCGTATGTTTTTTTTCGTCCTGAACATGCATGACATATTTGCAACTTGACGCTAAGCAACCCACAATCATTATATTTGTATTTGACTTTATCCTTCCGGAATTTAAATTTATTTTGTCCTTTTTAATTTCAGATTTCTTGGGAATCTCAAGTGAAAACTGACTCAGATTGTGACCATACAGTTATCACCCATCACTACCTCATGCGTAAGAAGGGATTAGAATTCAAATGGCAGGCACCAGAAAAAGGTGCCGGATGTGTAGAATTCAGGTATGTCTGTTGTTCTATAGTGAAATTTAAATGAATTAAAAAAAGTCGAATAATTTCAAAATATATGTGTCATTGTCTAAATGTGTTGCCAGTTTAGTTTTTTTAACAGGATTGCAGTGAAGGAAAATAAAAAAAACCTCGATGTATGATATCTACTTCTTCTTAGTTTACGTTAACTGGTGTAAAATTTGTTTAAGTCGTTATAGTGTGATATGGCAATAGAAATTGGCAGTTTGATTTTCAAATAAGATGCCTTATACACACGCCAGTGCCTATTCCTGATCCTAAATCATCCGGAGGATAAGCTCATTAGCCGAAGTCTTAGACATGGGCTAACTTCGATGGTACATTTGATTTTATAATTTCCGTAAATACATAACGTAATTGTACTGCAACGAAGGTTGAAAATAGTTGAATAAAGATGATTGTTGCATTCTCTTTTGGGTCTTTCGTGGTATTTACGCCCTTTAATGTACCATTTTATTGACATCCAATCCAATTGCACTTAGAATTGTTTTTTTCAATTTAAGAAAGGAAAATACTCTGAATTGCAAAATGGAAAATATAATATAACTAGGCGTGTGTGGATATATCAAATATTGAAACAGAAGTAAATAATGTTTTGAGTTTCAATGATAAATATACTAAGAAAGAAAAGTTTCATAAAATCTGAGACTATTTGTAGTAATTTAGTACAAATAAATCTGTATAATCATTCCATATATATATTTCGTTATTTCTTTACTTTTTTTTGTAAAAAAACAAAACAAATACATTTCAACACGCGTACGGAATTACATCTCATAACTTGATAAATTGGTATCAGTCAAATTTATACCCACATTTTGACTTCTTTTATATCAGTAGCACAAAAGACTTGAAAATTTATTTGAAAATTATGCATCGTGAACATACATTTCCATACATTAACGAGTATTCGATATGGCGGTATATTGCAGACGATAGAAATAGCACGGCATGATAAACAGTTTTAAAAGTACAAAATTGTGATATGTAATTCGCCACTGGAACCCATGACTTAAAAGTAGTCCGTTACATTAATCAAAGATCATATAGGTCATTTTCAACTTTAAAAATTATTTTTACGTTTTCACATAATTCATTAAAACTTTATGTTATTATTGATGTCTCGTTTCCGGTTTAGCTAAAACACGACGATATGACCATGATTCATCACATTTTTATATTCCGTCTGTCTGATTAGACCCTTTCGTGGTAAAATTAGTCTTTCTCAGAAACTACGATTGAAGGTAAAATGCAACGTGTTTCCCGAAATATTTCCAGTAAAATGCAGCACTCCATAGCAGGGACTATATTGCACTATTGCCATAAACAGTTTATGATTCTCTAGAATCATCACCAGAAATGCATGTCATTTAGTGGGCTCTGGTGGAGAGTTGTCTCATTGACAATCATACCACATCTTCTTATTTTCATATGAAGTGTACCATTTACTCGTTACATATAAGACATTGCAAGTTGGTAAACAAGAGATACAAATATCTTTTACAATTATTTGTCGCATTGGATTGTTGCCTCATTGGCAAAACCAAATTTCTTTTTATATTCAAAAATATTGTTTTTTTGTATAGTTTTTGAATTTTCAAGAAAATAAAAATACAACTGAAGATTTGAGCTGAAATATTTTGCATAGCCTATTTTTTGTCATATTTCGGAACATTGCAATTAGTCACCAGTCCTGTCAATTACTTAGCGCACATTGTTACTGATCTTTTCCCATTTTTCCTTTCATTGTTTTCTATGCAATTGAATTCCTAATTTATATTGTATTTTTCATCAAACAAACAAGTGATTATTTAACGGCACGATGGCAAATAATCTCGGTAAAACTGTTAAATACAATGTTAGATCTACAAATATATTGTAAAAGAAACTTAATTTTCAATCTTATAGTAGGTATTTCAACTGACGTCGTCGTTGATATGTATGTAACACTTTGTATTTTGCTTCATTTGCAGTCGAGTTATTCGTCATCGCCGAACCATATCACACACTGTTTAGTCTTTAATTTTATACATGAAACACGTTTGTTTATTATGACAGAGTAATTAGATGATTATCCTACAAGTTGGACATTGTCTTTGATGATGGTTTTAAAATTTAGGGGAAAAAACCCGAAAGCTTCCTTTTTTCACTAATTAGTAAGAAGCATCATAGAAACTGTTGAAAGTGCAAGTTTGGCTTACGCATTCATCACTTTGCTCGTCAATGCAAAACAAATATTACATTCATGTTTCTTTCTATGATGGTTTCAATTACGTTGCCGTGCAGCCTAAACTAAGTAGATAAATAAACACAAATCAACTGTTTATAGAGTTGAAAAGAAAAGGTCTTTTTTGTTGTTTTGAGATAATAAGCTTTTCAGAGAGGATAGTTTTTTTTTTTATAAAACTCTTTAACAACCTTTTAATTGATGCAACAATCCCGTCCCCCTTTTCTTGATTGTGCAACGCCGAATGAGACTTTTCACCGAATGTGTACTTTCCATAAGGAACAAGACAGGTGCTATCTGATGACATGTGGAGATCAACTTGCTTGCCTTTATTTACCCTTCCAGATCACCTGAGATAATTTCAGTTCGTGTTGCACAGTCTCCCGGGGGGGGGGGGGTTACTTCCTATATTTTAGTGGTATGAGTGTGCCGCAAAACAGGGTCGATTTTTCATGGCCTGCTGGTTAGAACAGGGTCCCTTTTTAATGTCCTGCTGGTTAGAACAGGGTCGCTTTTTCATGCCCTGCTTATGAGAACAGGGTTGCTTTTTCATGCCCTGCTGGTGAGAACAGGATCCCTTTTTAATGTCCTGCTGGTTAGAACAGGGTCGCTTTTTCATGCCCTGCTGGTTAGAACAGGGTTGCTTTTTCATACCCTGCTGGTTAGAACAGGGTTGCTTTTTCATGCCCTGCTGGTGAGAAAAGGGTCTTTTTTTAAACAAAGTATTTGTCTACGGGAAATTGACACAAGTATGTTTTTTCTTACATTAATGAATTGTTTGGTGACAGGGTATATATTTCTGAACTAGTCTAGAACATATAGGTCTCTGTCTAGAACAAGGTATACATTTTCTGAGCGTGTCTAGAACAGGGTATACATTTTCTGAGCGTGTCTAGAACAGGGTATGTTTTCAATATTTCTGTTTAGAATAGGGTATGTTTTTCAATGTTTTCTGGTTAGAACGGGTATGATTTGGCAAGTGCTGTCGGCACAGTTATACCCGAAAGGATAGTCGTTTTTTTGGCCATAATAATGTCTTATTTTTAAGTATCTTTTTCTAATTTCTCTAAATTTCATGAATTTCAAATAAAGTGTAAAATCAAAATTGCGGTAGGCTTGCATTATGTTACAAACGAATGCAACATTATTTCTTTAGATTTCAATTTTCTGTCAATAGAAACCGATTTTTTTTAATTTATATTCAATAAATCTTTCAGGAATGCTTCACATGCAACATTAATTGGAAATAGACCAATGAAATAAGAGTTTTCAAACGTGGTCGGCTTAGAATAATATATATGCAAATGAAGCCAAATATTTTTAAGATTCCAATTTTGTTTCATAAAGACTCATAAACTATATCATCACACATGAACTCCTTTTGCTATTCTAAGGACGTACCAGGTTGGAATATTTCAAATTTAACGCTACGTTTACGTACAATAATATTGCTTGGGAGGAAGTGACGTCTTTTGATGCCTTCGTCACGCTTACACTGAATCACAACAGCAAACCGTTAGGATTTCTGTAATTAGACACAAAAATAGAGCCGAAGTTTGAATTCCTGCTGTGAAAATCTGCATTTAAATAAGTGTCAACTTAGTATGTATATTGAAACGCCCTAGTCAATAAGCATACTAATTTAGTAAGCATGATATTGCAATTTTGTAATCATATTAATTCGAAGTCTTCCAGTACCCTATGATAACAGATTTATAAAGAACCAGCAGAGAAGAATTTCGGCTCAACTGAACGTTTCTCGCAAAACATGATTCTAATGATTTTATTTTTATACATCATGGAAAGTAAAATTGAATAATTCTTTTATGATTTGCATACTAGGGAAAACGTTGATATGATTGGTCGAGAGGACTTCCGGTAGTTGATCCTGACGTTGTTTATTTTTCGATAGACGACGTTCACCGAACTACTTTTCGTAACGAATGTAAACAAGATGGCGGCGATAATAACACTTTATTTTCACTGTACGTTAATCGTTAAATTAAAATAAAAAATACACAAAAACATTCGTTTGAATGATAAAAAGAGTTTTTGTAGTTTATTTTTTATCAGATAGCAAATTTCATGGAGTACATTTTTTTGCGTTAACCAACAAATATATTCATACGCCAGGCCTATTCAATGACACAAATATACAACTTACGTGTGATAGAGGTTACGAGTGTGGAAAAATATATTCCCTATCTCTAATTTTAAAGAATTATCATAAAAGTCCGAAAAAGTCCTTCGGACTTTTATTTGTTTGTGAGTGAATCGGTCGAGTTTATACACCAATAAATTCCTTTAAAAAGGCGTTAAATCCTATAATAACTGGCATATATTTGGCAAAACCGGATGATGGTGAAATTTGGAACTTAGTATGAAACGATAAAGTGGGCAACAATCAGTTATCGTTACGCCCCTGGCTGTCTTTGTTTATATCATTGTCCCTTGGTCTTTGTGTAATGCTTGTTTCATAGTCAATTATTCCACATCTCCTATTTTGATTTATTTATTTTGAACATATGTATGTGCTGTACAAATGTGTTTTATTCCTATAACTAAACGATAATTGCTCCAACTTTGCACGTATTGTCAAAATCAAGACACCTTAAGTTAGTTTACTAGTATACGCTATTCGGGTGAGACCTCCTCCGTGGAGAACATAGGCTTGCTAAGAAAATGTAGCGACATCTGTTACGAGAATGACAACAGAAAAGCTTGTAGATTAATTAGGATCCATAGA